TAAAATACTAACATCAAATAAAACTAAGGAACAAGCCCAGTTTCCTACAAAAAACATAATTGGCAATTAATTTTTTCACAAAGGTTTTTACTAATGGGAAATCTTAGATGCTTTTTAATGATAGGAGTTATTCAGAGAGATGGTGAGTGCAGATCAGGTGAAGCAACAAATATCTGTGAAGTGACAAGTAGAGCTTGGCCTTGTAATGTTCTGTTTATATGGGTGCAGATAAGGAGAACAGAATTGGAATTTAACCAGACTTGTGTTTTTGCAAATTAATTTGATTAGGTTGTGATTGGATAAGCTTTTAGATTTGAAGCTTTAGTTTATTTTACCCTTCCATGATTCAAACATTTATGATGCTTGGATATTTAGTTTTTTATAGTGATAAATAACCTGACACGTACACAAAAGGCTACACAGTTTTAAAGTCACAATTCCCAGCAGTGTTGTATAAAGTACCTCAAAGTGATACTTGAGTAAAAGTACAAGTATCTGATCATAAAAATACTTTGGTAAAGTTAAAGTCTTCTCTAAAAATATTACTTGAGTAAAAGTCTTAAAGTATCTGATATTTTTTGTACTTAAGTATCAAAAGTAAATTTCTGACACAAAATCTACTTAAGTATTAAAAGGAAAAGTACTGAGTAAAAGTGAGCAGTTAAATTTTCCAAAATGACATTTATTGGGAGGTGACTTCTCCAAAAAATATTTTCTTTTAACTGCATGCAGCTGTGATGGGTTGTCTACAAGCTAATAGGGTGTCAGCATGGTATATATTTATACTTATCATCCAACCACAATTAAATTCACTCTATCCAGGAGACACAATTTATCAGGATAGTATTTTTCAAGTAATAACAACTCAATAAAATAGGAGTAACGACTTTCTACTTCTTACCTTTTTTTTAGAAAATGTAGTGAGTAGAAAGTACAGATAATTGTGTAAAAATGTAAAAGTTAAAAGTACGCTGAAAAATAATTACTCAAGTACTGATAACCAAAATTTCTACTTAAGTACAGTAACAAAGTATTTGTACTTAGTTACTTTACAACTCTTATTTCCAGGCAATCAGCTTTATTCTTGGACTTGATTATGAGTCAAATTTTAGAAATACAAAGCTACACAAAAACAATATTTGCACTCTTTCACAACTTGTGATGACATCCATCATATGTTTTTATGTGAAGAGTGAAGAATGGCAGAGCTCACAGAGCAGAGGACAAAAATGGTTGAACTGACGAAGAGCATCTGTGTGCAGCTAAGTGTTAAGCTGAAGGATGAAGAATTTGGTGCTGCTGAACACAAGACTAATTTCACTTCAATAAAACAAATAACATGCAATTCATAAACAGATGGGGTCGTGTTGCACACTGCAAGCAGTAGGCTTTTTATTTTAAGTGTCCTAATTAATTTGATTATCAGTCTTCATTGTTTTTTGTGATATTTTGTATTTCAGGCCACACATTTAAACTATAATCTAAAATGTTGCTTATATTATTCAAAAATAGTTTTTTTTAAGTTTGACTTTGCTGATTTTGTTCTAAATATCATTTACTGAACATGTCTTAAATATAATCAAAGAACAATTTTAAGATTAGATATGTAGTTAAGCCATAAAAAACAATCACACATACAGTGGGGTGCGAAAGTTTGGGCAGACTTGTTAATTTTCCTGATTTACCTTTTATAAATCATTGATTGTTCAGATAAAAAAATCTGTTAAATATATCATATAGGGGATAAACACTGTGATATTTGAGAAGTGAAATTAAGTTTATATGATTTACAGAAAATGTGCAATAATTGGTTAAACAAAATTAGGCAGGTGCATAAATTCGGGCACTGTTGTCATTTTATTGATTTCAAAACCTTTAGAACTAATTATTGGAACTCAAATTTGGTTTGTTAAGTTCAGTGACCCTTGACCTCCATAAACAGGTGACTCCAATTATGAGAGAGGGTATTTAATGGGGGCAATAGTAAGTTTTTCTCCTCTTTGCATCTTCTTTGAAGAGTGGCAGCATGGGAGTCTCAAAACAACTTTCAAATGAGCTGAAAACAAAGATTGTTCACMGTCATGGTTTAGGGGAAGGATACAGAAAGCTATCTCAGAGATTTCAGCTTTCAGTCTCCACTGTGAGAAACATTGTGAGAAAATGGAAGATCACAGGCACAGTTCAAGTCAAGGATCGAAGTGGTAAACCAAGAAAAATCTGGAATAAACAGAAGTGAAGGATGTTGAGAACAGTCAGAGTCAACCCACAGACCAGCACCAAAGACCTACAACATCATCTTGCTGCTGATGGAGTCACTGTGCATCGTTCAACTATTCAGCACACTTTGCACAAGGAGATGCTGTTTGGGAGAGTGATGCAGAGGAAGCCTTTTCTCCGCCCACTTCACAAATAGAGCTGCTTGAGGTATGCTAAAGCACATTTGGACAAACCAGCTCCATTTTGGAATAAGGTGCTGTGGACTGATGAAACTAAAATAGAGTTATTTGGACATAACAAGGGTCGTTATGCATGGAGGAAAAAGAACACAGCACTCCAAGAAAAACACCTGCTACCTACAGTGAAATGTGTTCCATCATGCTGTGGGGCTGTGTAGCCACTACAGGGACTGGGAATCTTGTTAAAGTTGAGGGACGCATGGATTCCAATCAATATCAGCAGATTCTGGAGACCAATGTTCAGGAATCAGTGACAAAGCTGAAGCTGCTGAAGCTGCTGAAGCCAGGGCTGGATCTTCCAACAAGACAACGACCATAAACACTGCTCAAAATCTACTAAGACATTCATGCAGAGGAACAAGTAGAACGTTCTGGAATGGCCATCTAAGTCCCCAGATTTGAATATTATTGAAAATCTGTGGTGTCACTTAAAGAGAGCTGTCTGTGGTTGGAAACCATCAAACCTGAATGAACTAGAGATGTTTTGTAAAGAAGAATGGTCTAAAATACCTTCAGCCACAATCCAGACTCTCATTAGAAGCTGTAGGAAGCGTTTAGAGGCTGTAATTTCTGCGAAAGGAGGAGCTACTAAATATTGATGTAAGGTTTTATTTTTGGTGCCCAAATTTATGCACCTGCCTAATTTTGTTTAACCAATCATTGCACACTTTCTGTAAATCAAATAAACTTCATTTCACTTCTCAAATATCACTGTGTTTGTTCCCTATATGAAATATTTTACTGATTTTTTTATCCAAACAATCAATGATTTATAAAGGTAAATCAATAAAATTAACAAGACTGCCAAAACTTTGGCACCCCACTGAATTTTACATAAACATGTTTAGATAGATATTCTAATAAGAACAAATAGAAAACTTTAAACTGATAGCCAAGATTTTAAAACAAATTACTTTAAGACACTTTATATCTTTATTAAGTTCATACTTGCTAAAGCTATTTAGTAAGTGCATCTTTGTGGTTTTTCGACATGAAAGGTTGCACAGCTTATCAGTTTTGGGCATGTCTTGGCTTAAAAAAAAATCTCCTGCCAAAGAGTTTAGCAAAATATATATTACTTGAAACATGTTAGGATAAAATAACCCACACAGGAGCTGAATATTGTTTAAATCTAGATTGGCTGAGGTTTAGTTTTCTCTGGGTCTCCGGGGGCTGTAAGTACGTGCTGGTTGACCCTAATTTGCATAAAGCAGCCCTGACCTCAACTTTATGTAAATGAAGAGAAGCCAGTGTGACTCCCGGCCTCTTGAAATGCAACACCACACTAGAGAGTTCATTGAAGTATTGCTTATTTAGATGCCGGACATGATGGATACTTTGGACATTTGCCATTAGTACGCCTGTATTCAGTCTTACTCAGCCCAACAACAGATTGAATTTAAACTAAATGCTTGCTGGACTAAAGCCAGACAATTCTAGTTAAATTAGAGACAAACTGATCTTAACTGAAGGTGAGACTCAAACCAAGAACTAAGAACTTTATTCATTGCTCCGCTGCTTTCTTCTCCTCATTTTCATCAGTTTCTCAATCTCTTCGTCTCACCTAGATGTTTTTGTTGTTGTTTTATTATGTAATTTTTTTGAGTTCAGCATCTGTATTGTTGGCTGACACAAATATGTCTGCAGTATTTTGTAAAGAATACTGGTAGTCTGCTGTATGTAGGTAAAATTGCATAATTTGATATAAATAAAAATGTCATGTAAATTTAATGTCTCCAATGTGCTACTATAAAAATAAAGGGACTTGAGAAAACTTTGAAAAATCAAATGAAATAAAAAAAAATTGATTACTGGTAGTTAGAAGTTGAAAACTAGCATTGTCTAAAGCAGGGGCGGCCAATTTTTCTTCCCCGGAGTGGGCCAAAATGAAAAGTTTTGTGAGGTCTGCAGGCCAAATGCAATAATATAATACAATAAATAATTTTCTTAAAGTATAGTCCTTTTATTTGTTTATTTTATGATTAAGCTAGCACTAAGTTTGATGGCCTGCCTTTTTTTCCCAAATCAAATGTCTGGCCAATTTTTTTTCCACAGTCCCCACTTTGGGTACATCTGGTCTAAAGGTATCTGAACCTGCTAAGATGCTAAACTATGAAACTTTAGGTGATGTTTGCTGTTGGAGCTATGTATACACAGAAGATGAAGTTTTTCCCCAATAGCTCAGCTGATACAACAATCTATTTTTTGCAGACATACAGTAAAAAACACTGTGGGTAAATCAACATCATTTAAGTATGCCAACTGTTTAAAGTATGCAGATGAGAAGCTGTGCAGCAGGTAAAATACATATAGAATACTAAGTCAGAATATTTTGGGGGACATAATGGAAATAACTGGATTATTGATTTTCAACTGTATATTTTCATCAGAGTTTGCAAAACAGAAGCCCATCCCTGAATGCATCTGTCTCATTATATTGAACATCACAACATTTCACAACACCTTTTATGGTCATTATTCTATAGTCCCTTCCAGTTTATGTTGAAATGCTGGTTTCATGTAAACTCTCTCTGTTTCTTGCAGCCCCATCCATAGTTCCCATCATGCACCAAATCAGCTCCACCATGAATAGCTTCACACTGTCATGGCCTCAACCGGAGCAACCCAATGGGATCATTCTCGACTATGAGCTGCGATACTATGAGAAGGTAAGCTGTGTGTGGAGTCACCTTTGTCTCTGACTCTGCATATGCAAAGCTAGCAGTGTGCACCGCCTCGGAGTCCAGGCTGTCCTGGATACCTGTGAGCAGTCCCCTGGGTTGATAATATGTTCTGTCCCTGTGTTCCTTCCATCTCTCCCACTGTTCTTTGGTTTCTTCTGCTGATGAAGTGAATAGGTTGACCTCTGCTCCAGGCTCACTCTGCACAGTGCAGTAACCCTGTCCCGCTGTGAAAATGCATTGCATCTAGAGGGAGTCGCATCGACCTGTCTCCTCACACACAATACGTCTGCTTTATTAAGTCACCAGTCCTTCCCTTCAGTGGCTATACTGCTCCAGTATTGACCTGTAGGCTTTTCCCAAGGCCTTGGACATAATGATACTCAGAGACTGGAGACTTGAGTTTTTTTTTTTTTTTTTTACTTGTTTGTGCTTGTGTTTGTCCTTCTAAAGCTGATCGATGTAGCAAGGTTAATCTAGCGTCTTTTTTTCCCAGTCAGTCATTTTAGGACTTGGTCCTAATTCACTGCTTTTGATGTAAGATAATAGTCAATATAGTTTTACTTTTTTGTTTTGTTTTCTTCCCATTGAGTTATTTACTTCTCACAAACACATTGTGTCTGGGGCTCCTGGATCAATACTCACAACACTTTCTGAGAATAGTTTTGCCACAGTAAACATTTTCAGTCAGAATGAGCAACAATCATGTTTTGAAATGATGCTGCATTTGGATACACAGTTGTTCAATAATAGCTTCGATGTTTTCTGTTTTCCCGGATGGCGTTGCACAGTTCATGCGGTTCATGAAACTCAATCCGACTGCCGTGGCCCTGACAAAACCTTATCTGCCAGACAGCTTAATGTCATGTAAATAACACTTATACAGCCCCCCATTAGCTCATGAATATCAATGAAACCCAATCCTATTTATGTTTATGTAACACATCCTTCAACAAACAAATGAGCACGGCATAATCACAAATTGGAAAATTATCAAGGACAAGATTGCTAATTGCAGAGGGATCATTCAGATGACAAGAGAAGTTCTGCTTTTACACCGTCTCTCTGAACAAGTCTACATTTCCAGCGATGCGTTTCTGTCTGGAAATGTCTTATCTGTCTTGAAAATGTTGCACATGCGAGTGTGAGTAAGACACTGAAGGTGAGTCAGAGTGATTGCTTTGTGACACAGTGGGCTGTCGAGATGAGATTTCCCCTTTGGTGGTCCTCTTTTGACACTCTGTATTTTGGATCTGACAAGGCTTTTCACAGGTTCTAAACAGACTTTCCTTCTGTTAGACACTGCTGACTGAAATGTCAGTAGAGGTGTGTTTTTACACCTGATTACTCACCAAATCTTTCTCGATGGATGGATGAATGTAAGGATAGCTGGACAGATAGATGGAAGGGTTTTCTTTTTATGTATCTCATTGATTGCTGGATTAATCCAATAGAGAAACACTGTTCCCTGCTCCAAAATTGATTGTTTCAATGTTTTGGCCACAATCAGTGACTCTTTGTCACAGCAGACATATACCGTGAGCTACTTTTAGGTCTAATGATAGCCCGTTCTCAAAGGCTGGTTCACACTGTGAGATTTGAAAAATTATAAAGAACTTGTACATACCACATTGTGGGTCTCAATATTATAACCTTTTGGTACTAAGCTGTGTCACAATGTAAAATGTCAGATTTACTAGCTGTCAGACTGTATGACTTCTTGCTGCAGCAAAATCGAAAATGTCACAAAGACCAGAGATAAATCTTATCCCAACATTAACTTTGTTAATATTAGATACAGACTCTAAAAAAATAAAAAAGGGATGTGTTTGAGAAAAAAAGAGATGTGGGTGTGGTCACACATGGGAAAATAAAAAAAGATAGTGGTCACAGCAACAGTTACATTGTGCAGTTTCTAAAATTTGTTGACTGCTGGTTGTCTGGGCACTAAATAATCACAGACCTCCAACAGGACCAGAGATTTTCTGATGATGCTTTCATCACAAAGTATGTTGTCTACAATGACCAACAATCACATTGTGAAACCAGTTTCTTTCTTTTTATTCCTCGTTCTAAATTTGAGCATAGTTTAACCAAAATGATCATGTGTTAGAGAAGACTTTGATTCGAAAAAAAGAGAAAATAATAATACAAATTTTCATTTTCAAAAGTGATGTTCCCTGCTGCTCATCTCTTGTGCACAGCTTGTGGTTTCTTGTGATGTTTGAAACATCCTGATAATAAAATGCCTTGACAGTTTATTTTTGAACATTTAAACATCAAAAGTAGCTCAAAAATGCAGAACATTTGAGTTTAGTAAAATGTGTGACATTGAAAATGTGAAGGAGCCTTGCAATAAGGCAAGAAAAGCTATAGCTGATTCTGAAAAGACTATTTTTCACCTGAAACGTTTACTAAGTGCTGAAGGGTGTTCACTCAGCAGGTGGCACTCTCTTCCTCAGCCTGCCTCTTTATTACAAAGTAAGTGGTCCCAGGACCCTGAAAAGTGTGGAGAAAAATTAAATAAGTTCAAATTTTGCAGGGAAAATCTCAAATCCCATGCTCTTCTATGATTCCATTTTTCCCCATCCCTTTTTTCCCCCATCTTGTTGCCTGAAAATTTAGGAAGGGTGGAAATAACTGGGCATACCAGAGGTCAGGCCCTCCATTAGGCTGGAGCAGAGCAGCCACCGCTTCTGGCTGCTGATAGTTCTGATGGTGTCAGAGTAAAAGGTGTGTGCATCTGTGTGTGAATTTCTGCCTGTGTGTGTGTGTGTGGGTGGGGGGGGGGGCAGCTGCAGTGCAGGTGTGTCCTTTCTGGTTAACAACAGCAATGTCATGGTGCAGTGTGAGAAAATCCAAAGCAAATCCAAAGTTTTATGACGTGTCATCAAGAACTGCAAAATACTGACCCTCTCACTAACTGCAGAGTAAAAAAAACCACTAAGACCTCTCAGGTGTTTTGCATCTAATTAACAAAACCACAGATGAGAAGTGTTTTCTTTTCTTTTTCTACCATCAATTCAAGCACTTTTTTTTTCAGGAACACAGATGTTTTACAAAGTTTACCTTTCTTAAGGAACTTTTGTAAAGTGGGGCTTTTTGCAGCTCTCCCTAAATCCCCCAGCAGGGGTATTCACATTGCTTCCTTCAGGCTTTCTTCTTTTTCCTCTTTGTTTGTCTCCCAACAAGCACACTCAGTCAGTTTCCAGGTAAATGAATGCATATGATGAAAAATCTCAAAGGGAGGTAGTTATGGAGTACAAACAAACAAACGAGCAGATAACATAAAGCTTACAGATCTGAGGCAGATTCAGTAAACTTCTCTTTATGTTTAATGAACATAAGATGATTGTTCTAAACTGTGTTTTACTAAACTTATTAGTGTTTCATGTGCAGCTTTGCCAAATTGCAGTCTATGAAGCGTAAAGGGTTTTTTGTAGTAGAAGATCATATTGATATACAAATTACTTGCTTTCCTTTAGATATAAAAACAAGTCAGTGGTAATTATTTGGCATTTTAATAAAAACAATTCCAGTCTTTGAGATTTAATTTGCTAGAGCTATTTCTTCTCTATTTTTTTTTTTTTTTTGCTTCAGGCAGTATATTTTAATCAGAAATATTAATGACTGGCATTTCTTTATTTTCACTTTGCACACATAGCGTGCTAATGTCCTCTTATAAACCCCTTTAATGCTGTGTGTGCCTGCAATTTACATGCATGCAAGTGTTTGAGCCTGTGAAGAGGACACATGGTACCCCACCATGTGTGTCTTTATGCCAAGTAGCCATGCTGTCCATGATGGTTTGAAGGCACAGCTTTTTTTTAACCAGACACACAAATGGGCGTTATACACACATGCACACAATAAATGAAATGAAGTAAAGTTATTTGTATAATTGTATTGTTCAGATTACCATAAAGTATTTTATAACAGCATAGGTTTTATGAATGACTCACAAGAGATGGGCTTCTGGCTGGAAAACAAACTAATTAGAAAAATTAATGGTGACAAAGAGAGAAAATAGTATAAAAAGGATCTTCCTCAGCAGTTCATTCCAAAAAACCAAACAAAAAAAAAACCACAAACAAAAAGTATAAATAAAAAAACATAAAATAAACAACTGTTTTTTTTTTTTTTTTTTGCTATTAAGAAACAAATTAAATGTTTTTAAATAGTGCAAAAGCATTTGCTCTTCAGCAGTCCAACTAAAGGCCATGATTAGAATTGGCTGTTTAGGTAAACAATACAGTATATATATTTAACAGAAAATGTAAAACCAGTAAGATTAGCTAAATTCAAAATTTAAAGCTAAACAGCAGAATATACTTGCTCAGTCAATGAGAGGCGCTCAGCACCAAATAACCAATAATATGTATTGCATAATATTCAAATATATTTATAATATAAAGATGCTAAACCTGATTTGTTTTTAAATCATCTTCCTGAAAGCTACAGAGATCAAAATTTCCCACAGTGCTTCCTGTCTGTCACCTCTGGCAGAGCCTCTGATTGGCTGTTCCACCATCTGCCTTCCCACCTGCAACTCACTCCTGATTTAGCATGTTGGGGTGTGGTCCTTCTAATCCCCAATTGACTGGCAGCAGGGGAGGACCTCTCATAGCTGGAAGTCACTCTTGGCACAGGCCTTTTATTGGCCGTCTCCAAGCCTGCTGGAGTGCCAAATGCCAGCTCATTTTTAAGTGGCAGATGTGTGTGTGTGTGCAAGAGAGAGGGAGAGTGTGAGTTTGTGTGTGTGTGTGTGTGTGTGTGTGTGTGTGTGTGTGTATATCAGGCATAATCCCCATTTGACAGGCAGCATGAGGAAACCATTCTGAACTTGTGCTCCCTCAAGGGAAGTGCACCCGTTGGCAGTTTGCCATCTGTTTGCTCACCTGTCTTCCATTCATATGCAACAGATGGAGGTGCGATTTGGAAAAGAAATAGCAGGCATAGGCAAATGTTGACCCCAATGGGTACAGGTGCATTCAACCATAGATTCGACCATATGAATACTTGACTGTGGTACTAGTCTCTCAAGGGGCTTCTTGTGCTTTAAGTTCTTGCAAAAGCCCAAGCTGTTGCTCTGACGTCAACTCTCATACGTTTCAGTTTGCAGCATTTTGAAGGAAAAAAAATATAACAGTTTGTTTGATAATATGACTTAAAAAAGCGAGTGAAATGATTAAACCCTCTAAACCGGTTATATTCAGCTTCCCATTTATAAATATGTTTTTTCCTCTTGCAGAATGAATGAAACACTGTAATGCTTCCACATCCTGAGCCCAAACATTTGTCTTCATCAAGCCCAGAGTGTCCAATAAGAGTTAATGTGATTGCACACATCATTATGTGAGCGCGCGCGCGCGTGTGTGTGTGGGGTTAGGGGAAGCAGATTTCATAGCTGTGTTTACCTCGTCTGCTTAGTGACGGAGCAACCGGAATGATTCAATTACACCAATCAGATTGGATAATGATTTCAGTGTGGGTTGCCTCTGCCTCGAGTTTCTTATCGCTTCCTGCCATCTTTCATCCCCTCCACACACACACACACACACACAACCACACAAAACCACACACACGTACACCCTTCCTACTTCACTTTTCCTACCTTCTTCCTTGCCAGGTTTTTTTCCCCTCTACACTCTTCTAAGCTCGTTTTTTTCCTAATAGAATTCCAACATGTTTCAGAAAAAGCACTAGTTGAGCAGTGAACAATGGCTTGCTCACCAAAGACCACTTTTATTTATGCTGTATTAGTGGCACAAAGTAATTTGCACATTTGCCTGCAACTGTCCACTCTGGTTTGTAAGGATGAAGCTTTCAGCGGCTTGCAGTGGTGGGTGTAGTGTAGGTGCAGTCTTATTTTCTGGCTGTCATAGTCACTTTGTGTTATGGGAAGGTGACAGCCTCGAGTCATTACTGATACCCTGTAGCAGATCCTGTACCTACTGAAAGTCCTGGATTTTGCTGCAGCAGACTGCCTGACTAGCTGTGTCAAAGGCAAAGCGATACCAGACAACAAACATAATTTATGGGTAACTGAATTTTCCATAAGCATCTACGTATAAGTCCAAATTTAAATTAATCAACATTTTTTTATAAACAAAATGCCAAAAAGATTCATGCTTGCTTTTAAGAGTGAAATGGTATTTTTGAAATGGTTATAACAGTTTTAAAATATATATAACAACAAGGTAACATACTACAAATAAAGCTCCAAAAAGCAAGGGCTGCTTAAAAATATTTAATACATTTAATAAAAATTTAATGTATTTGCTTGGTGAAATGGGTCTGTTGTCACAAAGCACGTATGACAGACATTTGTAATATTTGGTTTATTCCAGTTATACTGTATTATAGAGTATGTTTAAACAGAAATACACAAAGATGTTTTGTTAATCTTCCAATTGTTCTTTATTAAATGTGGGAAAGTATCATTTTAAATAATGTATTTTGCATGTGTAGTACAGAATGAAACAGAGCATTGTTTGTGCGACTTGTCCAGGTCTTCTTTTGTCTTTCAGCCATGTTCTGTGCAATGCTGACAGTTCACAATGCACATTTTGAAAACTAGAAAGAAAATGTATTGTCACGTGTATAAATCTGTTCTTACAGTGAGCAACTGGCTTCAAGAGAGTTTCTATGCAATTACTCTATCCGCTTTGTAATTGACTTCATCTTGTTTAGAATTGCTTTCTTTATTTTTGCAAACTGACGAGTATGACGAGTTTAAAAGCACTACATTTTCTAGTCCTAGCTAATTTCTTCAAATTCTGTCCACTTTCTTTAGACTATTTCTCCAAAGCTTTCAGAATCTTCTTTCCACTTGTAAAATTTGTCAAGAACGGTCATAATACATGTACCTGTATTGAACCGTTTCGAACATTGCTTTAGGTTCAATACAGACTTGTATCAAACAGTACAGATTTTAAAAATTTACTTTATCAACTTGTCTTCTGAAGATGCTCTGTGTTGAAGGATCAGTGGATCTGTGTTCAACTACTCCACCTAGGCTGCATTTTTGAATGCAGATCCAACGAGAAACTTGCTTTTTCAGCAACATTTAATTGAAAAACTGTACTTTTGAGGTTAAACAAATGTTTATAATTAATTTAAATAAATTACAAGTTAAAAGGGGCATGGACATTTCTCTTTTTTATATCGAAAAACATCGAACCGTGAGACTAAAGTATCGAACCGAACCAAATTTTGAATTTTCTGTATCGTTGCACCCCTAATACTGTATGTTCCTCGGCATCTTTTTTTTTTTTTTTTTTCACTTTTAGTGATGCCTAACCTGCCCCTATGTGTTCAAATTTTCTTTCAGGATCATGCAGAGATTAATTCCACTGTGCTGCGCAGCCAAGCGAATACTGCCCGTGTGGAGGGCCTCAGGCCGGGTACTGTCTACGTGGTACAGGTGCGAGCGCGGACTGTGGCTGGCTTTGGCAAATACAGCAGCAAGATGTGCTTCCAAACCCTCACAGATGGTAAGGATTGCAAAGCCAGAGAAATCTACTCTGTCTGCCTCTATGTCTCTCTCCCTCCCTCTGTGTTATTCTGTTTTTCACACACAAACACCCATCTCTTTCTACCATTCATGTGCCTCCTCTTGTCGCATTAATTTTGGTTGGATAAATAAAGCAGATCTGTAATATTTGATTGCCTTTCTATTTTAACAGCGGAATTGATTTCCTTCGCGATCAGGTTTGAGTGTGTACGGGAGCTTTCACTCTGTGGAACGCTGAGAGTCTTTTGTTTGCACAGCTAACTGCGCTTTATCCAAAATGCTGAGCTAATTGGTTTTTCACCCAGCCCTTCTGTTGCTGGAGAGCTGTCCCAGAATACATAACTGTGATTAGTAGTTGATGAGATTATTTATTTATTTTTTGGCCACGGACGGCAGGGGGGCTGTTGGCAAGGAAAGGGACTGAAGAGGGGCTGCAACACCTGGTAAGCTGGCAGGCCTGTGGAACTATGTTTGTTACTGCAGGTGCAAAGAGGTGTGTGAGCAGTGTCAGTGAGGGTGGCATTTTACATCCCCATAGCCTTTCCAGGCACGAGAACTGGGGCTGCCATCAACACAGCATGATTCAGTCTGAATGGATTAACATTTGACTGTGTATTTGGAGCTCTGACTTGCGAGGTTTGTCTGCGAGTTTGTCATTTGTAATGTAAAGCAGGCGGGAAATCCCTCACTTAGCATAAATACTAATAAAGATCATAACAGCGTAGGACACGGTAATGATCTTAAGGGAGAGGGAAATGGGAAGGATAAATGATGATGATGAAGGCGATCATTTTGTGCCTCTTTACCTGAGCAGAGCAGATGTGGTGGTGCAGACATGGCCCCTTTGCTCTCCTGTCTCACAAATTGTCTCTCCCTTACACATATACGCGCATGCACGTGCGCACAGCGACATCCGCACAAACGCGCCACACTCGCGCACTGTGTTTACCGTTTATCCTCTGGCTGGTTGCCATAGCACGACATCCGTCAAGGCAATTAGCAGCAGACACTAGAGGACAGCCGATGATAACACCCACGCCTCCACCTTCTGCCCCTCTTACCAGTCTTTTCTCCCGCCATCAAACCGCTTCATTACCTCATGAAGAAAACACCTCGCTGCTCTTCCGCTCTTTGTCTTTCTTCAAGACATGCAATCCCCTTTGTCCTCATGTCACTGCAGTTTTATTGACTTTCGCATGGTGTTCTCCTGCCACTTTCGAACACGCAGAATTGGGATTGGTCCATCATTTCGTAAACTAATATCACGGGCCTGCGGTTCTCTAACAAGCTCAGGCTTCAACAACAAACTTGATGGTAATGGGGACCTATTTACCATTTGAATACATGTTTGTGTGGTTTCAAACTGTCAAGGTAAGTTTCTATTCTCATAAAGGCAAAATAGAAGGTTTATATGGACCTCTCACAACTAATATACATCAAAAGATAACAAAATAAAAAACCTGCAGGGAAGTTCAACTGGATGGAACAGCATTTACGTTGCTTTATTGAAACATTTTTGATAAATCTGCAAGTTAAAAGAGTTAGCAATCCCTGTCACATTGAGTTTCCTCATATAGTGCAGATTTCAAACAGCTCCAAAGATATATTAGTTCTCCCTTTATCACTTTAATCCAATAGGTTCATTCTGCACGGGGGATGGGATTTAGAAGCTGCTGATTTGCCTTCAGCATGCTAAATCATGCCTCACTTTAACTACGGTGCTCCTGGAGTCAAAGTTGCCGAAAGACAGGCACACAAAATGACGACTGAGACTTCTGCTGTGTAGCACTTTCCGGCAGGCTTTTAAGTTGTCCTCTGGATCAACTGCAGTCAACTACGGCTGTATTAAAGCATGGTGAGGAGCTATGTGTGACTGACAGTGGACGACTTTCTTATTGAAGCCACCTTTGAACAAATATTTCCTCGTCCTCTGTTTTATGATAGACCCAGCAGTAAGGAGGCTCTGTCTCGGTCTTTCTCGCTGTCAGCTTTGCGTATGTCTCGCCCTCTCAGTATCTGTCTTCTAATCAGACACAGCATGGCAGTTGGTCTCGCAAGTGCCCACAGGATTTTGGTCAGCACCTCTCTGCAGAGAAGTCTATATATTTTTTTCCTTTGTTTGTACAGCCAGTTCAACACCTTTTTTTTTGTTTGTTTGTTTCATTTGGCTTTTAAACTTCTCCCTTCATGTCTAAAGTATCCTCCAACTATATGTACACTTCCAAAGAAACATGGACATCCTTCTGAGTCATTCTCACTACCTGTTTGTCTTTTCTTTGTGTAACCCAGAAGATTTCAAGTCTGAATTGAGAGAACAGCTTCCTCTGATTGCGGGGTCAGCAGCTGCTGGAGTGGTCTTTATTGTTTCCCTCATTGCCATTTCCATTGTGTGCAGCAGGTAAGCATATTTTTGACTTCTCTTTCTTGTAAGACACACAGCAAAGTTAGCAAATTAATTCATACAAATGTCCCTTAATTAAAAAAGAACACTTTTTTCCCAGTTTCTGTTGCTGACACTATAGCATTAATATAAATGAAGTGTGTTGTATTCCATAAAAAAAGTTTTACTGTTATGTAAATTATTAATTAAGACACTATCAATTTGGAAATTTTAAACCACATAATATTAAATGGAAATCTAATCTCATAAGTATAATCCTTAACTGATTTAGAGACATATCCGTAGCTTTTGGTTAAACTGAAATAAATTAGATAAAAATCCTTTGAGAATTGTGCACTTGCTTCATTTTTATTCTAGTTATGGGTCTTGTTACATGTAGAGTATGCTGAGTAAAACAGATGAGTTTAACTCTTAATATGAAGATTTGTATTCAGATGTCTTGAGCCATTCATGTTGACCATCTTCCTTAGTAGGATGTCAATTACACAATAAGACTCCCCACAGATAATCTTTGCATCAGTGCTGATTTCACTTTATGTTTACGAATTAACATGCAGTCGTAAAATTGGTAGATGATGAGACCTGTTTTTACTAAAATAAGTCAAACAGAAAATATTGTCTTACTTTTATTGAAATCAGTAGTTATTCCACCGTTTCTTTCCTTGCGTCCCGTCTTCCTCTACTCTAAGCAGTTAGATAAAATGCCAAAAACGAAGATACCAAACGAGCAATAGAAGAGATAAAAGGAAAAAATGAAATTGCTATAAAAAGATGGCTACATCCCATTGAGAGTGTGACAACTTCCACTTTACCCTATTAGGCCAATCTCATCTTGCAGCAGTTTGTCAATTTGTCAAATTCTTGTCTTACTCCACTTAAAATATATGGAAGTTAAATTTTCTCTTGTGCCGTGTGCAAGTTTAAGCAAGTCAAGTGTTCATCAAACAGGCTGGGCTCTTTTGATGCCGAGGCAGAGGAGACAGATGAAAAGGAGAGAGATCCTATCAAGGTCTAATTAAAAATCAGCTCATTTTCATAAACTTCGCTTGCCACTGCTAACCCGCTGCAAGTGATTCAATTTCATCTGCGGCATTTTTAGGCCATACAGAAAACCACGAACAGTCTTTCCTTTTCATCCTGTCAACGTTTATATTCGCTCTCAATATTCACTGCTCCCTTAGGAAACGAGCGTACACCAAGGAGGCGGTGTACAGTGACAAGCTGCAGCATTACAGCACAGGAAGAGGTGAGTCCACATGAATGCTTACAGTTTCAGTCACTCAAAAATGCATTGTGTTTTTTTCATGTTCTTTATATTAAATGCTTAACTGGAAACCTGATTATTACATATTAGACACCATAGCCATCACATTAAACAAACTGCAAACATGGTGCAAAATGTGTTTTTATTACTATCAGGCGATATTGGTTAGAACGTATTATATGATAAATGATGATAAGGATGGAGAAAGAGATATTTGCATGTCCTTAATACTATTGGAGGTTCCGAGCACAAAGGAGAGACTACCTTTCATTTTAAAATGCATGCTAATTTACTAACATTTTGTTGTTATGCATTTTACTACCGAGTGCACCTTTTTTAGAGTTGGCATTGCTGCCATACATGTTGCATGAGGAAGGCTCAGGTGAAGACAGGCATTTGTATTCTGTGTCAGTTTGATTTAAATGCCAAACCATTTGATCTGGGATCTGTACCTAGAGTCATGTAAATGTCACATATTTTTGCTTTGTTTTTATTTTGTTTGTCACAATTACATAGATTTTGGAGAACACTGAGCAACAGTTGCAACATTATGTACTGTAAGAATTTTAAATGCATTATTTTATGTGCTACCTTTAATCTAATTGGACAAATTTATTTCAACTTTGCTTGGACAATGTTTTGTACAACTTTCAAATCTTCCAAAAAAGAACAATGTTAGCATTTGCAAAAAAAATTTGAAATTGAAATTGAAATTATTCAATTATTGCCGTAGTGAATAATTATAAATGTTAGATATTTATGTATTTCAACTAGTGCTACACCAATTATTCAAAATAATAAATTACATTTATTAAAAAAATAAATAGTATCAAATATTTGCATTATTTAAATATACACCTACATTCTCATTGGTATCTGCAATGAGGGCAGAATTGCTTCTGTTGTCTGTGGTTGCTTCGCTTACTACTGAAGAGGTGGCAGTCTGCAAAGAGACACAGCAAGATTTCAAACATGATGGATTGTTTTTTACATTTATGTACTTGAATGTCACTTTAACCAAAGTTATTTTTTAGTTTTTTTGGACTTGCAGCAGGTCATGTTAGCCTCTCATGCTGGAGATGCTGCTATTTTGAGTTATTTGTACGTTTGTATAAAAGGCTACTTGTGTTTTACCACGTCTTATTGTTATAAATACATGTGATTAAGCTATCACGCTTAAGTTTCATGGGTCATTATTGTAATTTGCTATGGGAACTTGTTATATTGAGGTAGAGAGACTGGATAACAAGGTGACATTCTCAGGACTGAGTAGGTGAGATGAGATGTGTACTGGATCTGAAACAGGAGGAGTGCACACAGGAAGCATATATGGACGTTGTGGCAGAAATGACAGTGATTAATCAACTAATTGATGATTAATCAACTAATTGATTAAGCAAAAAATAATAATAATCAGCTGATTAATCAAGATTATCATTGGGCACAGCCCTAAATTTTACCAAAATATTCAAAGATTAAAGTTAGTGTCGCCTAGGTATAAATAAATGCTCTCTGATGGTTCATGCAGTACATTCTGAGAATAAATACCTGTATGTTTTCACATTTGCTCAAAATTTCAGTCCTGAAGTATTACCTATGATAAAAGATACATAGCAGTTGTAGGCCTAAAGAGTGCATAAAAGAGGTGTAAATAATATTAAAGTGAAATTACTAACATGCTTATTGATGTAAATAGCCTTTTCCTCCCTGTACACTAAGACACTGATTGACATCACTTTGGGCTAATGCTAGAGTCATGTTTAAGTTCCTTCTGGGCATCAACTGATGAGGAGACACAGACCAAAGTCCCAGTCACATAATTCCGGACACACACTGTCACACACATGCACACCAAAGAATGTGTATAAGGCTTTGTACCTCAAATGAAAGCACTGCATACTGCCAACTAAGCAGTCTGTAAAGAAGCTCACTTGGGGGGATTGAGTTTTGTTGAACCTACACAGCAAAGAGTTTCAACACAGTTACTTTGTGTCAAAGCCACAGCACTGGCAGTTTGGGGTTCATTAAAGCTGCTGTGAACATACAAAAGAGTCAGTTTGGTCATAATCTTTTTTTTTTGGAAAATGTATTATAATGAACCTCACTATAAGCCATTACATTGAACGATCTGATAAACTTGCCGGTTATTTTGCCAAATGAGCAGTTTAAAGTAACCAGAACCCTTATAAAGAATCCTGAACATTGATTTAGTTCTTAAATTCTTACAATTCCTGTACTCACAAAGCAGCCCCGTCCCCACACTCCCACCTCATAGTGCTTTGTTTTCTTCTATTCTTTTGAGATTTGACTGACAATTTTGTAATGACAGTATTCACAGCAGCAGTAAAATAGAACCACTCAACCAATTGTTTTGAGTAAACCTCCAAAAATCCAGCCTCACCCTGCTGCCTGCAGCTCCAGATGTTGCCACACACATATCTCGTGATGTTTGCTCATTTTCAGTCAACCTCAGGAGAAAAGCGGCTTCGGCAATGATGTAGATTCAGCGATGCAACTGAATGGACATAGCTTTGAAATGCTATCTTTACCGTAAAACCAAAACCCGCATGTAATGTGACAAACAGATTAGAACCCACACATGAACAAATACAATACATCAAGCGATGCATCACACCTACACGAGTCAAAGGTTATTTTTGTTGGCTTTTTTTTCTACCCAGTGCATCAGTATGGCCACAATCATTTTGTTCAAACAGACAAATGGAGCTTCTGTGTTTCTCACATCAACACTTATCAGCTTGTTCATATATATATATATACATATA